ATGCTCCAGCTTGTACCTGTTGCCCCTTGTCCTGTCATTGGCCATCACCGAGACGAGCCTGGCTCCATCCTCCTGACACTCGCCCTTTGATGTTTATACATACATAATGAGGTCACCCCTCAGTCTCCTCTCCTCCAAGCTCAAGAGACCCAGCTCCCTCAGCCTTTCATCATAAGGGAGATGTTCCACCCCCTTCATCACTTTTGTGGCTCTGTGCTGGACTCTTTCCAGCAGTTCCCTGTCCTTGAACTGAGGGGCCCAGAACTGGACACACTATTCCAGATGTGGTCTCACCAGGGCAGAGTAGGGGGGAGAAGAACCTCTCTTGACCTACTGAGCACACCCCTTCTAATACACCCCAGGATGCCGTTGGCCTTCTTGTCCATGAGGGCATGTTGCTGGCTCATGGTCATCCTGCTGTCCAATAGGACCCCCAGGTCCCTTTCCTCTATCCTAAAAAGGCCCAAATGCATTAAGTTTTACCAGGACAGCAGCAGTTCTGAGGTTTGGGTAAAGCTTGTGGAAAGGAGCTCGAGCAACAGTTTCATCTCAAAAATAATAAAAAAAAAACAACAAAAAAAACCCCTACACACCAATATTGAGTATTTCATATATTTGAATTACAGTGAAAGATCATTAATTATACCATTTGGAATATGAGAACTATTCATCACAGTGTAAAACTTTATTTAAATACTTTATAGATAAAAGATACTAACTTTTTAATTATCTGTCAGGTGCCAAGCAGAACACAGGGATAAAGATTACTTCACTACATACGTATTTCAAAAGTTGTTATTTTTACCCATCTACCAGGGAAGGCCCAAATTACATTCGCAATACCAGTCTCCTTATTGACTCATGCTGAGCAGACTAACGGGCGTTTCCAGGCTCTCTCAGGCTGGAGAAAATGCTGCTTTTAGCTGTTCCGACACGCGGCGCACAGGACATACCCCTTCAACCTCCACGTTTCAATGGCTGTGTAACTTGGTCGAGAACATGTGCTGCAAATATGCACTAGAGCACAGACTTGACAGGGCAGCCTCTGATTGCTGAGTCTGCTCCTACCCAGAGTTTCTGTTTTCATTTGACATTTTTTCCATGGACATATATTACTGTAAGTTATGCAATTACTCATATTCATAACAGAGAAGGAATACAAAAAGCAACTTTGAAGATCTTGATTAAAAGGAAACAATGTATCAATAAAAGTTGCAAAAATGTTTTACAGATTTACATAATTACGCATAACATGCAAAGCATTTTCAATTTAAAAATTATCAAATAGAAGAAAACAAATCAAAAAAAGAAAAAAAGCTGTTGACCAACCTTTATGTCTATGAGATCCATCCATGTCAGAAAACTCAATATGATTTTCATCAGCCCAGTACAGTCTGTGGTTGACATAATCTATTGTAAGAGCCATAGGTCTAGATATCTGTGTTTCTATGACAACTGTTTGACTGGAGCCATCCATACCAACACGGCCAATGTGAGGATATTCACAGCAATCAATCCAGTATAAGTATCTATAAACCAAAATGCAACAGTTGCTTTGTTTAGAAATGCAAAAATAATAACAATAAATGATTAATTTATTTGTTTGATCTCAACAATATATCATAACGTTTTCATTCTTCAGACAGGTTTTCGGATTTTTCTGGACCTGTCTGTAAATGAGTGTGCTAAATGTAAAGGGTCTGAACAGGAGAGTCCTCATGTCAGATGTGATGTCATCAAATTAATTATGGACTAGTAAAAAGTGCATTTAAATTGCTTAGTCTTGATACCTTAGAACTTGAAGTTCTGCCTGGATTCGGTTTTGCGAATCTCTTACCCTGCAAAAATGGCATCACTACTAAACTTATGGCAAATATTCTATTACAGTTACTTTTTTTAATACACATATTACAAAACCTTGTTTTCTTGTTAAAAATAATACAATGCAAATTATCTTACTTCAAGAAGTACTAGTTCGAAGACATTACAACAGTTTCTCACATAAAGGGCTTAAAAATGGGCAAAGCATTGAGAAAGACTGTTGGAAAGCTGAGCAGCAACTTTCTCTTCAATACGCTATTTAGCCGCGAAACAGAGCATGTTTGGGGTTTTTCTTTGAAAAAAGGAAAAGTCCTATTATTTAGCACAAGAGTGTATGTTGCTATTGTTGTATGCCATTACTTAGAACCTCAGGACAGATCTTTCCAGCTGGGAAGCTGATATGCTTCTACTCCACAGGTTTTGGGCAGGCTCTCAAACCCTGCAGAGGCAGCTCATATTCTTAATAGCCACCTGGAATACTATTTGTGTGCAGGAGAAAACGGTGGCCCTAAGAACAGATATAGGTATCCTGCAAAACACAGGTGCAATATGTTGGCACTGAGCCTGCTCCACATAAGCAGTAGAGAAAGGGAACTTTCTCCACTGACTTCAACAGAGAACTTTTTCTTTGGAAATGTACCATTACTGTTGTATGTCGTCAGCAATATAGTTGATTTTGCATTTCTCATTTGTGAGAAAAAACCCAAGATACAACTAATACTATTTCAAACAATAACTCTGAATTTGAAATGCAAACAGAGTTTTTATTTCCAGCAGCTTTCCGTATTAAAATAAAGAAACAAATATATTTATCAAAAAACCCCACCCCAAAACAAAACAAACAAGCTTGGCCTCAGAAAGCTAAGTCTGTACACATACTGTGCACTGAGCAGGAGCACAGTAAGTTTATTATGCCTTTGTATATCTACACCTCCCTGGAAGACTGGGATTCTCTGTACAAACTTTGTAGAACTGATTTTTGCACACAGAGAACATGTCCTTGATATCCAGGCAACCAGAGAGGGATACTATGTGTTGGTATCTTGAATACATTGAACAAATGTTTACATCCTCCCTGCCAAATTTTTCAGTGAAGAAAGGGTACAGTTACAAGAAAATTCAATACTAGTTCTAAGAACTGGTAGAAAATGGCTTTTCTCTTAAAAATAATGAACTAGTTAGGTGACATTTCTCAGCTAGGAAGTACGCTGCTTTTCTTTGTTAGAGAATCCAGACCAACTCAACAATTTTCTCTTGTCACTGACATTGGAGATGATTACTTGAGCCTTAGGATTCAGAGATGGAAAAGAATCATTCATTGGCCATGGTACTATAGGAGTGTTATGAGACACTACAATAGCTTTATTCATCCAGTTTAGGCAGAAGTATCCTCGTGTTCCACAAAACAGAAAGCAATACATACGGAATTCAGATCTGAAAAGACATAGGGCAAACTTTCCATAGTCTATAATTTATTTATTCAGGAACTAGACAATAATTTCAGTATTACTATTCAGAAGTATTACTTTTCTTAAAGATCATATGCAGCATAAATACTTATTTAAGAGAATTCTTTTGGTTAGAAATTCTCCAGGTTTTAATGACTTTCAATTAAACGTACACTGATGTGACAGGGGTCAGTGTAATATAGATGATGGTTTAGTGGTAAGTTGAGAGGCCTTTGTTTATGAGGCATTAACTGCATATTGAGCCATACAGACCCAGTGACTCAATGGCTGTGGCGTAACACACGTTGTCACATAAACAGGAAATATCTCAATGGTTTTATGCATTTTCCATTTCAAGAATATAAAAATCTTTCTTCTTCTACCATCCAAATTAGCTGCTGGCATGAAATAATGAGATAGTTTGAGTCTCTCTGATTTGGTTTTGATCAAATAGAAATGGGTAGGAAGTTTCTGTTTAAAAAAAGAACAACAAACAGAAAAAAGTAAAAAGCACTTGTATCTCTTGGGGTTTGACAAGATGACTTTCAGCCATTCCAACCTCAATCATTCTGTGATGCTCAGAAAATCAAATATTAAATAAACTTGTTTATGGAAAGATAATTTCTTTTCTTTCTTTCTTTTTTAAAATCCATAGCATTAGGTTAACCGTCTCAAGGACATATGTTTTATGGGAAAAATTATAAACTTTTAAAATTACAGTAACTGTGAGAAAAAAAAAAGTCCATGGATCCTATAGCTCTCACACCAGTCAAGAAATCAAAAATGGCAGTGGTGCTCAGAACTGCAGCCACAATACCAGCACTGATCTATCGATAAATAAATTCTAGAGTCATGCAATAACTAATAGAATTAGCAAGTAAAGGTACCAGCTAACGAACGACTTTACCTAGGCAGCCGTCACTTCTTATCACTGTTGTTGCAATACATTTTTCAAGCATATCGTCTCAAAGTTGTGAGAACTAAAGTTAGAAACTAAGTCTCCTAAAATAAACCCTTTGTATCCTAATAATTAGTCAGTCCACTTATTAGACTTGTTTGAAAATCAGAACTTTAACTGTATAGACTAAAAAAGGCAGAACCTATCTTCAAATTACGTGTGATTAAATACTTTTACTCTTTGAATAATGTGCAAAAAACGTCAAAAAAAAGTCTTCAAATATGTGGTAGCTGAATGGCTTAAATTATTTTGGAAACTAATAAACACAGAAAAGAGTGCTGTGCTAACAGGACAGTTCAGTACATAAATGAAAGAAAATGTAAAAATTCACATAATATGAACTTTCTGTTACTTTGTAACAAACTTTTAAAAAGATAAGATATTTTTTGAAATATCTGCTTTCCTCCTACCAAAAGAAAACATTTACAGAGTAGTAAATATAACAAAACACGTTTTAGTACCTGCATTCCTCTATTATACCACTTTTATACATAATAATGATATGGTAAGCATTGGTATTGCGTTTTAGACTACTGATATCCAGTTTAGCTGAAAGTTAAATAATAAAGAACTAATTGTATTTCCTATCTTCTGTTTTTATAAAAAAGATTTAAATATCAAATTAGGATTAAATATGAATTACTGCAAAATGGCTGCTTCATACCCAGCTTGAGGATCTAAGGACAGATCTCTAGGAAACTTCACTCTTTTGCTCACAAGGACGGTAGGGTATAAGCCATTGAGTTTAGACACCTCAATAATTCTCTTTTCAGTATCAGACCAATAGAGATTCTTCCCAATCCAATCAACAGCCAGTGCATTGGGGACAGCTGTATTGTGGACTACCTAGAAAAGCAAAAATTACATAAATTATTCATGTAAATACTCGGAAAAGGAACAACAATTCAAGAGTTACTAATACCAGAAGAGAGAGGCTGAAGTAATGACACTTCTTAAGTGATTAAGACAATGTGACATTTTCCTTAAGGTAAGGGACGATGGGGAATGTTACGATGTAGTAAATACCAAGTTTCCAACTTCCCTGCATTATGTACTAACTGTTAAGAATTTTGTATCCTTCCTTTTTTGTCTTAAGTTTCTAATTTTCCTTTCATTCCTTCCTTTTTTTTTTAATTTAAAAAAAAACCAACCTCCCTTTACTATTCTGTTTATTTTTCACAGAACTGAATGATGAGGCTTCTCTCCCCATAGCATGCCCTCAAACACAACTGCTTATTAGCTCACCATGTCTCCCACCAGTCTACATCCGCATATATTTCATTTTAATATCACAGTAGTGCCATATGTCATCATGACAGATAGACCATAAGGGCACTCAACTCAGGCAAACAGAAAAAGATTACCTAGTTGGAAAGTAAATACTGTGCTCTCATTTCCAACATTCATGTGGTAGAAGAATGAGGAATTTTTCTAAGAATTAGTTAAATTGCAACAGGACTATGTTATTAAGGAATAAACTAAGAGACAGAAGCAATTTAGTGACCTACTGGAAAGCCTGTGCTCTACTGAGAGGGATGTGTTATTCTCACAATTGACAACTTCAATAATTCTGCAACTCGAACAAACGCCTCTAGACATACATGATTACAAATCTCGTCATGATTGTATGACTCAATCTCGCTTGGCTAGGAGTACTTCTTGTTAAGCGTTGAGTGACATTTGAATATTGCCGATCATTAGAGCCCAACTTCTTCTAGGCTTAAAAATTCTATTCCTGATAAGGTCTATTCTGAACCTGTTTTCTTCCTGATGAGGTCCTGATTAGGTCTGTGCAACTAGAACTTAAGAAAAAAAAAATCGGAAAGAGCAGTACTTGAAAATATTTGAGATTTCTTAAGTACTAATAACGGGTTTATTACTGTAGCATACATCCTAATTTATTGTCATCTTCACCACTAAAAGCATGTGCAATGGAGTATAAACTTTACACGTAAAGATGATTATGTATAACTGAATGTGTTATTTTTAATTTTATTTACCATTTGAAGAAAAGCCTTCAAGATAAGAAGGGATACTGTGAGACACTTTAAACCAATTTTATAGTTATGAATATGTAAAAAACACTTTAAGGTTATTATGTTATTTATCACCTTATAAAATATTTTTTAAATTAAATCCAGGCAAGCACCAATTTTTTAATATAAATAGAATACATTTTCTAATACCTTCGCACTATCAGCTTCACTGGTTTATTAACGTGTAATTCCAGCAACCACTGCACTGTAACAAGGGACATTTCATGCAGAAGTGGATAGCTCTGCAAACTTAGATAGCAGTTTAGCTACACTACCTAGAAGCATCAACGTAATTAGTCTCTCTTTGCTGACAACTCTCCTTTGGAGAGTCACTTTAAGCCTACTCCAGTCACTGAGATCACTAGTGTGACATTTAATGCACACAATCCAGCTTACTACAGCATTTTCCAGTAACAGATTTCATTTACATGTACAATCCTATACATAAAACCTTTTGTTAATGTTTGAACATGTTTATGTGAAAAAGTTGTTGCTTATATTGTATAAATATCCCCTCCATGATCAGATGCAGAAGAAAAATGAGACGCCATCAGGCTTCCCAGAACAAGAAAGCTAGAGTTGATATGCTGAAGAGATGCTATCTTCTAAAAGGGAAATCCTAGGTAACGTATCAATAGCATCATTTACACTAACAGTACTTTTATTTTTAGTAACACAAGAAGTACGAAGGAAATAAAATAAATTCATACATCAAGTGAAAAGGCTGTCAATCATAAAACCTGTCTTTTATGACGAAAAAAATGTTAAAGAATTTAAATAGGTTTGCTGGGAAACTAATTATTTGCATCATTAAATATGGGCTATGTTAACCTATTAAAATCCACGTCAAAGAGACAAAGTTATCATTTGGTGCTGGATAAAAGATTACTGACAGAATATCAGTCAGTTACAACATATAATTATTGATAAATTTTTGCATACATTTTCAGAAGCTGAATCTGGGCCAAGTCTTTCAGTGAAAAAAAAAATTCTTATGAAAAGTAAGTGCACTTATTTTCATAATTTTTGCGTTCAATTTGTATCCTTTTTGTTTATTTATACTCATGAACATGACACTGATTCTGTAAACGGCAAAATATTAATGAAGGAACAATGACCCTCCATGCCCCCAACCTATTTTTCTTCTTTTGTTCAAATTTCGGAAACCATTCCTTAAAAAATGAAATTATTATTACTTTATTAGAAAGCAATAGGAGTTTTTTTGTACTCTCCCACGTGGCAACTACAACTTTTTGACTGGGAAAAGTTCTTTGTCATCTTAAAACAGTTAAGACTAGAAAGAAAAAGTCTGGGGTCGTCCCCATTCCTGAAAATTTTCCCGAAGATAACAAGACACAGATTCATCCAGAATGGACAAGAAGTTAAATAGGAGGCTTTGTAAAATGTTTAAAGACCATAAGGATCATTCAAAGACTGAATGGACTTTGAACCCCACACTTGCCTGTCTCTTATTTTTTTGCAGGAAAAATCTTTGCAAGGATTCACTAAGACTTTTGAGTACATGCTGGACTCCAGTTTTACCCCACTGGAATCAGTGTCATAACTTAGATTCACAGAGTCATTCAGGTCGGAAAAGACCTTTCAGATCATCAAGTCCAACCATCAACCTGCTCTACCAAGTACACCCCTAAACCATATCTCCAAGCACCACATCTAAACGACCTTTAAACCTCCAGGGATGGTGACTCAACCACCTCCCTGGGCAGCCTATTCCAATGCCCGACAACCCTTTCAGTAAACTAATTAACTTATTAATAACTTATCCTCATTCATACTTTTTTTAAGTTCTAAGAACAACTATTTCCATGATGTAAGGATGTAAACAAGGTTCACTGATACCAGTCAGTTTCAAACCTCAACCCTCAAAACCACTAAAGTTGGTGTGCTCTGAGGATGTGCACTCCATGTACTAAGCTGTAAACGAAACCCAGAAACTTCCTTTCTGCATAATTTACTGGTGTACAATGAGGGAACAAAATTCACAGGACGTGTTACTGCTTATTTGTTCCATGTTTAATAAGGTCAGATATAAAAGAATAAGCAATGAAGAATATCTTACTGCTTATCACAAATTCTGGAAAATCGTTCAGGTAAGTCAACAAATATGTTTACAGTGGATTTGTGAACTTATTCCACTACAGATGTGGAAGAGGCTGTGCAGAAATGGGAGCGCATTTTTACCCTGGATTATTCACAGCAAAGACATTGAGTTATTTTCATTGAAGTGTAGTGGAGGTAAGACAGAAACAACTCAAAAGCATGGAAAAATTTATATGAAGAAATAATACATTAGTGTGTTTCCACAGCTTATACCTAATTACATCTCTTTTTAATTTGGCATCCTGTAAACCACACTGAACTGTCAATTAAGTCATAAGAAATTTAGTTCATAAATACAGTCCTTTTAGTCCCTCTCTCTACTTCAAATAAGATACAAACACAATCAAATTTTACTAGGACTTGCTAACTCATGCTGTGTTTGTACGCATATACCAAACCCTCAGAATCTGGGTTAAAAGCATGAAGGAGCACTTCCCAAAATTTAAATTTAATTCTACTAGTGACATTATTAATCCCCAATTACCTTGATGTCACTTCCATTTAAACACATTCTGTTTATGCGACTGCCATTCGGTCTGCTGGAATCAATCCAATAGATGAACTCTTCTCTATAGTCAAAGTCTATTGCAATCACGTTGTTCAGCCCCTAAAAACAGAAAAAAAAAGTCCATTTATTCAAATATTTGAACACGAACTGTTGGGTAGCATTCAGAATGCAAAATACATTGCATGTAATATCCAAAAATGTTTTATTTTACTGATTGCATATTTTTGAAGTACCTCTCTTATTTTTCCATACATTACTTGTAAATAATCAGAATAAGATAAACATTGTAACAGAAATAAAAACCAGAAAAGATAGAAAACAACTATCTCACTGAAAAAATGCAGATGATATGAAACTAAATGAAGCTTCTGCAGTTTTCTTTCCTATTATTAAAATGAACTTCAGCAGTAAATACTTCAACTTTTGCTCAATTTCTGTGTTAACTGCTACCTTTAGCACTACTTTGGCAAACTAGATGACGTTCGTTTTGTAACAACAAACTCAGAAATAGCATAAAACTTATCATCTTAATGAATATACTTCATTATTAATATAAATTAATCAGGAATTTATAACTGTGATGTTCTAAAAAGCTTTGATTTTAATTCCTGAATAAGGAGGTTTAAAATTTTTAGATGATATATTATAGGTACTGTGTACATACACATATGTATACACATGCACACAGAGGTACATAAAGTGCAAAAGTTAAGAGACCCAGCAGGCATTTGGATGTCTCCTGTGGCTCCAGTTACTGAGCCAATACACTGTAAGAAGGAGTGCTGATCAAATCTGAGGTACTCCTCCAGGTTGGAAAGAGCAGTCATATAATATTGGCTTTTCATCCCAAATGGCAGAGAAGAAAGGGAGGTATTCCGTTCAGATGACGGCTCTTATTTCCTTTTCTGAGCATAGGAAAGCCTTGCCCATAATCTGCTTAACATTCTGATATGTAGTGAAATCGGAATTATTCTTAATATCAAAGTTGCTGCAAATCAAAGATGGCGCAGCAGCGGTAGGAAAAATGGATGCAGCTTGCACTGCTTTGAAAAGCGCAAGATCAACTGGTTAATCGATCCCCTTATCAGCCCAATGACATTCTAGTCTCAGGTAGATCAGCAACTTCCCTCGCTAATGTAAGTCACAGTTGTAGAGGGGATGTGCTGCACTGGCCAGCTCTAAGCCAAACAATATTTAATTGTACAGAGGCAATACATTGCTTAACTACCAACTACTAGTGCGACAGCATAAATCTATCTTCTGATCAAAATGTAGAGGAAAAGAGTGCTTGGGCTGCACAAACCATCATTAAAGAAAGCCTGAAACAATACAGCGCTGGAGGACCACCCTCATTTTCAAAAATCACGTAACCATGCATACAGTGTTTTAACAAAACCAACTGCAGCTCTGTCAGTCATAACTGTGCTGCAAAACACTCTCCTGTCTCTTTTTCTACTATTAGTCTAAGTGCATCTACAGATAAACTCCCACCCCAAACTCTTAACAAAGGAGACAACAGATGAATGAATACAAAGACTACCAAATATTTATAAAATTCTAGAAATCAAAGTCAGTAACTTGTGAAAAATTAGCCTTTTATCTACATATTCTACAACACCGTAAAAGTTTCTGAAGTATCCAGACTAATAAATAGAATCGACTGCCTGCAAGTTTTTGGTTTCAAGTGTTTTCTTTTGCATCATTTCAGTTACAATGTTTATCAGAATATCAACTGCCTGTAAAATTATTTCTGTACATCTGCAATAGAGTTCTTTGTCCAGACAACATCTCCTCTTCATGATCTACTTATCACTTTTAAGTCCTCCTAGCATAATTCTTTTCCATTTCTCATGTAACTTGCTTTTAGAAGGAACAGGGAAGACTTCAAACAGCATCAGCTGCATTAGTCTCTCATCTTAAATGTGTGGTGGTGTTTTTTTCTGTTATGTGCAGCACACGGTATCCTAGGCTGTAATTTGTGTTTCGAGGTAAAAATCACAAATAATTTGGAGGAAGATTCTCTCTATCTACTCTGTCTATGGCAAACCTAAGGATTTTGATGACTACGAGTGAAGGAAATGGAAGGCAAAGAACATACATGAGACAATTCAAACAGTTGTACTGTTTATGTGTATTTGAAAAAAAAAAAAAAAGAGAGGAAAAAGCTGGCACGGAACAACTCAGAGAAGACTGAACGAGCTCCTACTTTCAGCTCCTTTACTCTGAGTTTTTACGAACAACTGTCAGAATGGCAAAGCACGGACCAAATACACAGAGGAAGGTGGTTTTGCTCCTTTGCCAGAGCAGCTCTGGTATTTGCCTTCATCTGGTAGATGTCTAAGAGCGAGCCGATCCATCATAACATTTCAAGGACAAAAAGATGTCCTTATGAGGAAGACAGCCCCCCTGTTCTGCTGGTATAGCTCCCTCTTTTGCTTTCAAATCTGGGTGCTTTTGAAAATGCCGTATTTGTAGGACCAAAGGCCAGCAGGTTCAACAGCAGAGATATTTATTAGACTAGTGAATTAATGTGACATGGAAAACACAGATTCTCTTCAATGGCTGGAGCTACGTGGTCTCTAACGTACTAAAGAGGAGTCCGTTAAATTCAAGACTAACGAAGCTCTGAGACAATCTGGCAGCACCAACCATAGAGGAAATTTACTGTTGCTCCCCTCTTTTCACAGGCTTCTATTAATAGATATACCAGCAAAAGAGGCGAGAGGCAGTGAGATGTAAATGAGAGGTAGTCAGAAGGATTTCAGAACAAACAGACTTTAACATAACGCTTGCTATGCTTAAATAAAGTCAATGTTTAATGCAAGATGGGTTAATTTTGTAATTACTGTTGTGAAGACCTGAGCACCTCTCTTGTGACATTAAGATGCACAGCTTATTGACACAAGAAGTCACAAAAAAGCCTAACGATATTGACTGGCAATAACTGATTTTTCTAGTCTTTCTACAATTGATTAATTAGTACTCAAGGAAACAGATATTTTAAAACATATTTTGGAACTCTAATCTGTGGTAAGTAACTACACTTAGGTGAAGCATAGAAGCAGAGCAGAAACTGCTAAAAATGACAGCTCCATATTTCCTGGGTCACTTTAGTTTTGAAGGTTTTTTTCACAGAAGTAATTTTTTCCTGTTAAAATAATTTAGAGTAATTATTTCAAAAATTAGATTTAGTGAAAGCTGTAAGTTAATGTATTGTAATACAGTAAATCTTGGAATTGTCTGCCTAAACGAAAAAAAAATAGATTTGAATTATGACAGCGAGTAGTCCAAATACATGGCCAAATACTTTTTTCTTTGGTTGATGTTTTTTTCTTTTGTTTTGTTTTGTGGCTGTTTTTTGTTTGTTTGTTTGTTTGTGGTTTTTTAAACTGACATATACAAATTGCACAAAACATATTGTGATGGAAGAGGATCACAAATAACAATTTTTTTTAGTACATCAGAATGACTGACGAAACAACTGCCTGAGCTTTAATCACGTCAAATTCAGGTCAAATAGTCAATTCAAAATATTATAGAAACTCTGAAGATGCTGCAGTTGTTCTATGGTGTGTACAATGCCAATTGTAGGATGATGTTTCTGTCAGTTGCACACTTTAGAAAAGAATAAAAGTATTGAGTTAAACTTAGAGCATGGTACTATGATTATACCTGTTTCAACAAAGTGTAGTTGGATCCATCAGTGCTAATTTTTCTTATTTCATGATGATCAGCCAGAATTAAGAAAGGTTCCTCATCTAAACCCCGGGAGAAAGAATATATTAGACTAGCTTTTACGTTAATTTATGGAAAATCAGGAATACAATGCTGAAATACAGATGGTTTGAAAAATAAATGTTACATGCTCTGATCAATGTTATGGATGAAAGAAATATTTAAAACATTCAAATGTTCCAAGAAAGATCAATGATGCAGTATAAAAATGAACAAAGCAATCAATTAGTATATCTTTCAAAGTAATTTAAATTTTTTGCCTTTGTAATATGGGAACCATACTGTATTTTATTCTAATTTAGTGTCAGAGATTAAATTTGAAATATATTTCATACCACTTTTTTATAATTTCAACATTCACTTTCAAATTATCACTAAGACCTTTATTTGTTATGGTTGCAAACAACCAAGCACATTTTGACCACTGTCTTCTGAGATTCCAATACTCTGAACAGTACAGACATAAAGGAACGCCTATTCGGACAAAGCTTCACATTCTACTTCTGAACTGAAGCCAGATTTGGCTTTTTTACCCCTGCTTTTCTAGTTTATCAAAAAAATATTCCTTCAGATACTCACTCATGCCATCAGTTACTTTGAAACATCTCTGACACTGACACGTGTAATAGCAAATGGAAAAAAAACAGCATAGTTTTAAAAAAGCTATCTTTATTTTATCTCTATTAACAGTGACCTCAGCTAAAATAATAAAAAAAATAAATTACTACGAATAACTAAAAATGTATTAACGGCTTGTATCTACTGCTCATACATTCTGGAATGTAACGGACTGTCCAGCCCGCTCTGCTCTGGTACTCAATACATTGTACCACCTTGCTCGCATTCTATGTTCAACCCTTAAGCCATTCTCCAGTCCTTAAATGATCTGAGGCACCATCCTGAGCCCTCCCTGACACTGGTCTGCGGAGAGTGGCTGCAATGCTCTGCTCTGTGGTGTAGAGTTCAAGGCCATTCACGCAAGAACTCAGCGCGAGGCCAAACATTCACACGTTGGCACCTCCTCGCAGCACAACCATCCTTGCCACAGCTCAAACAGCTTTGTCATGATCACTTTTGAAGTTTGATATATTACAGCTCCAATAAATTGTACTACGATGTGTTCCAGCTGCCTTTCTCATTGGAGTGATCTACGGCTTCTAAATGTACGAGTGGCTTGCAAGGCGTGAGATAGGAGTAAAGCAAAAAACAGAGACTGTATTTCTGCCCTCTCCTGTGTTTCCTCTGATTCCTCAGGGAAGCACCTGAGACAGGAATGTGACAGAGGTTCCAGTCGTCTTGTCATTTAGAAAGAAAACAGATTTTTTTGGATATTTGAAACCAAAGCACAAACAATTTTGTGCAAGACTGCAATAAAGAGGAGCCTGCTCTAGTCAAAGATTGACTGCACTATGAAGGAAATCCAGCAGAACGCAGTAATGGGTTTTTTGTTTCTTTCCTGTTGACATTTTGCTATTCCTTTCACTGATCTAGCAAAATCCCACCCACTGAAGCACATAAAAATAACACCAGTGGCATAGACAGAGGGGTGAGGAAATACCCAGTGTTCTTATGTATCTTGAACTTCATTGTGTACTACATATAAGACTGGAGCATTTCATATGCTACAGGAATAACAGATTTTGCAATTTCTATTATTTTTTCCTGTTCCTCCTTTTCATAACAGGAAGTTTGAACGACATTATAACATTCTAAAGTTGATGAAATAAAACAGCAGAAGTCTTTTAAGCACATCATAAACATATTATTATCATGTTACTCAGAAGTAGAATTGATGTGTTTTAACTTTCCTAATACTTTTTCTAATAAAGTTACTAATTCAGACTTTCATAATCCACTGTACCTATCCACTACAAAAGATTTGCGCACAATGCATACTAAAAATAGAACTTATTATTACATTCACACATTGAATCACATTCCTATTGTTTACTGAAGAAGTAGTGTGCTTCAAAGTACTTCTCTTTATCTTGCATAAAAGGGTAACCACAGGGCTAAGGTATTTCACAAATTATTTTGGATACAGCTGTGGATTAAAAACAAAAAGTGATACCTGAAAGGGATTTGCAGCCATTTGGGTTATCAGGCTGTATTTCATACCCTTCTGCACACAAGCATTTGTAGGTTCCATAGGTATTGATGCATTGCTGGCTACAGGGAAATCCAGACGAACATTCATCAACATCTACACATGTTTTGCCATCATCCTTCAGCATGAATCCGGGCCAACATTTGCACTGGGAAAGAAAAACACATACATTCATTTTGAGTTACTCATTGACTCTGTTTGTTATCTTATGTATTTTCCTCTGAATATGTTAGCATCATAAACTATTCCATGTAGTCTCAGTTTTTCAAGTAACATCTTAATTACATTGCTGTTTATATTGTTTACAGGCAGACATTCCTACATTTCAACTATTGCTGGTGCAATCCTAAGTACCATTCCCTCCCAAATAACCCTTTAGAACGAGTGATTATTCTTTCTTCTTCAACTGAAGTAACACACACATTTTCAAAAGCATGGAAAGGATTCTTCCATGAAACTAATGATGGACGGACCCTTTGGAGTTCTTTATTTTCAAGTACATGTGTGCTTTTTTGGTGAAGATACCCAGTTTTTAATAATTTTTCTTGAAGAGTTGATAACATCTAGCATTCAGTGTAACAAATCTTCCATGAAACTAATGATGGACGGACCCTTTGGAGTTCTTTATTTTCAAGTACATGTGTGCTTTTTGGTGAAGATACTCAGTTTTTAATAATTTTTCTTGAAGCGTTGATAACATCTAGCATTCAGTGTAACAAATACAGTAAAGTGAATGAGAACTCTTGAAGCTTTTTTTTTTATCATTTAAGATTTTTATTGGGGTCTGACGATCACCATGGCAGGCTTCTCACATGTGATGTGAACGATACAAAACACAGCTGGGTAGAAGGGTTTTGAAACAGGGGCATAGTTTCATCAGTGGAAAACTTTGTCTCATGTTCCATCCTGTATTCTCTGATTAGTCTCTGCAAAGACCCATGACATGCTTTCTCCACAACGAAGCTACTTCAACAAGGCTTTTGCTGTACACAATCTAGTCTCCAGCCTTCCAACTAGGACATGGATTCAGAGGTTTGAATAACCTTAGAGCTAAGCATGTTGGATGGATTTTGTTTAGTTCTCAGTGGGCCAATATTCTATGGAAAAGATGAAATTTAATTTTTTTTTTGGGGGGGTGGTGTGCAGTTAGGGTTACTTCAGTTAAAACCCTGAAAAAAATCTCTTTCCTAACCTCAGCTTCTCTTTAAAGGTTAGTGCAGTCAGTAGCTAGGGTTTAGATAACACCCAAAAAGTATTCCTCTCTACATCTCAAGGCCAAAAAGCAGATTCAGGTAATTCAGAGACACCATCACATGCAGACATCTACAGTTTTATTCTGCAACTAAGGCAATTATACTTTGTTTAAATATTTCTACAAGTCTCTCTGACTTGGAAAAAAAATTTGGAGAAAACTGCTATTCCTGCTACTCACTCCTATGTGTTTTCCTTTTGTCACAACTGATTTTCAATGCTCTGTATACATCAGTATGATTTGTTGTATTTAAAGCATTGTATGTTCTTTTCCATAGGTTTATAGTCTGTATCGTACCAGCTTTTTTATACAATTGGCAATTGTTTGCTTACTGGAAATAAAAATTTGAGTGTTCTTACTACGTTAGGTAAGCTACTTCATCACAAGGAAGTATAACACACTGGAGTTTTATTATGTGGTAGTTAAGAAATAGTTAAGAATTAAGAATTTGCATTATATTACACCACATGTTGTAATTATTCACCTTGTACCCAACAGGAAGATCCTGACAATCCTGAGAACAGCCGCTAACTTTCTTACTGAGGCATTCATTAACGTGGCAGCTTTTCTCATCAGATCCATCACTACAATCTTCTTTGTTATCACAAACGTCACTTTGAGGAATACACTTGCCATTTTTGCACATAAAAAAAGAGCTGTTACATGACTGCTCTGGAAAACAAAAAAAAAGAGAACACAACTTGGGGTGGTCTATTAGTATTCGGAATGAATTTTCTCCTGGATCAGCTGAAATATGTGCTTGTGAGACAAAACAATTGTGTAAAAATTGAATATTGATTTCTTATTGATAGTATTATAATACCTTTTTACTTTTCAGTGTCCTTAAAGGTTATTGTTCTCCTGGAGAATGTGTGAATACTTCAACTTATTACTGCCTCCTACACATTGTTCTCATAAAACTGAGAATCCTCTGCATTATCTCTGCACAAAATACAGTTCTACAGTTTACAACACTTAAAAAGCATGGCTTCTCTCTCTTTTGGAAGCTGAAGTGTTTAGTAACATGACTGCCTGAAATCTGACGCATTCACATGTTTTTTCCCCTATTTGGCAAAACTTGAATACATAATTTAAGCTAAATTCAGGTTCTTCAAATCAGAATTAGAACACTTAAATGTGTCAGGTACGTTGCCTTACCTCAAAGCAAATGAGTGATTTCCATGAAAAGTGGCATAAGCAACTGGGCTACTGCACAACAAACTCACAGGATCTAGACAGAAGAAGTGGTCTCTCAAAAGGCCACAGAATAGAGTGTCACATGCAGACCAGGATTCATTTACCTCTCAAAAACCAGTCACACCTCAGCAATCGTATTCATGTTCGTACAAAAAAAATCAATAAAACCTATCACATTTAGTCAGTAATTTACTAACAAAAATAAACCAGCATTTATTATTTATAGGAAGAAAAACTTCACATCCCCTTTTGTATGATCTACTTCTGTAGGATGAGTACATTAAACAAAGTAAACATTTTCAGGGCAAGCTAGAAACTTTGCAATTATTACATTAATGTCATCTTATTCTAGTACCAACAGAATTTATGCATTAAAGAATTAGCAGCTCTGTTATGCCATAGGAACTGGTGGCTTGAACTTTGTGAACTGAGGTTTTCAGTGCTCAGGACTGACAACTCGTTCTCCCAGCAAAACATAAGGAATATCACCATGAAAGGCCAGGAGATTTAAGCTACGAGGTTTTACATTTGCCTGTCTACAATCCTAAACCATTGCTTTCCAAGCAGAAAGGTCACACATGTTATTCATAAAATTAAATGCAAACCTGAGCTTCTGCATTTTATGTTTATAGGTGCTTCGTCAGATCGGTCTGGGCAGTCAAAATCGCCATCACATTGCCACTGGGAATTTAACAGGCATCTTCCATCAGCACAGGTGAACTCTCCAGGACGACAGTGACGATACCCTAGAAATACAACAATCAATGGCTTCATATGTCGCTTCATACCTTTGACATAAAATTTTGCATACGTGAGGCAATGCAAATAAAAATATACTTTGTTCCATAGAGAGAGACAAAGCATTATATGCTTACAAACGAGCGTCTACCAAGAAAGAGAGAAATCAAATGTGTCTCATGCAGCACAGTATAGTCATGAAACGATTCCCACATATGTAAGACATATTTATGTAGTTCTCAATCATAAAAGAATATTCTTTCAGGTATAATTTAACTTTTTGCTATTGGTAGGAAATAGCTTTCTAACAGATATTTTAGAAATTACTATAACCAGCAAACCACTTTTGTGATACGCTTACTACTATATGCTTTCCCTTGAAAATACGCAGAACACTAACATTATAACTACACTAAACATGTATTATCTAAGACGGCCACAAAACTGGTATAAATAAAATGTATACATTTCCAAAGTTAAGGTGTGTTTCTAACAGAAAATTATAACACATAACGAAGTAAAGAAACCACAGACATACACGGAACGCAGCTGTTTAACCTACAGTTCAAAAACAACAAAGCAGTAGAAAAATTTGGAAGAGTCAGTACTAATTTAGTTTTTTCTATTCAATTCTGAAACATGAAACTTGAAAAAATCCCAGAGGGAAAATCACCATCTATTTGTAAGATATTTACTTGTAAGATTCATTACACTAAACCACCTACTAAAAAACTTCGGTTCCTGTTTGGAAAAGAAAACCGTAACTTTTCCTATATTCTACATGTGTAAAATCTGCCTCAAATAATCTGTAGTCCTTTAAAAGTGCCTTGAAAGCAAGCCTTGATTTAGTTTAAAACTCAAGAAAAAATATAAAGTAAATATGGTTATAAAGTAAGAATTACATAGGAACACTTGTTTTGATTATGAAGAATGATTTTGCCACTTCTTGGAAAGAAAAATCTAAATTATGCTGAACTATGTTTAACATTCTTTCCTCTGCAGATTTTAAGCTTCAAAAATTTGATTCTTCTGAGAAATATATCCAAATTACAGAAACTGCTAAAGCTTTAAGTACTGAAGCTGTGCACATCTGAAACGAGCACTGATAACTTTCTAGTCCCTAAAAGCAGAAAGTTAATATTTGTTCTTTTTTCTAATTACTTTATTTCCTGCTATCTAGTAGAGCTTTTTTCTGATAGCAGATGGAAACACAACTGGGATAAGATATCCATCTACATCAAGAGCTTTAAACCTCTTGTATATCCTTAGTTGTCTTCTAGAACTGTATTAATGTACTATTTTCAAAATGCAACATGTTATTACATCAGTTACAAATATTACTTGGAATTCAAGTAATTCTGTGGTCTCCCGAAGGTGGCAGGGTTTTTTTCCCTTTTTTTTTAGATAGATAAGGCTTGAAGGAAGATAGCTTGATATGGGGAAAAAATAAAAGCTTTTTGGTTGTCTGAGACACCTTTGAATGCAAGATTTTACAAGACAACAGCCTTACCTCATGTCTGACAAGTAAGTCATCATCAAAAAACTCCTTACAAACGTGCAGAACAAGGGCTTCTACTTAATACTGTCTCTGCTCTGGAATACAGGACATCAGGACATAAAGAAACTGAAACCAGAAAATCCTGCCTATTCCTGTATTTGTCTTTTGATTAGCCACATAAACAAAGTGTTTCACCTTCTTGATGAAATTTCATATTCTTGAATAGATTTCCTAAAATATATTATTTTTTAATTTTTCAAGAACCTAAGAAATACCTTACAGGATGAGACAGAGGCTCATCTAGCTCAGTGTTCTGACTCTGACAGCAGCAATAGGAGATGCAGTTCAGGGAGAATGTATTTTCATGCTCTCCCCAGCTTGAAATATTGCTATTTTTCTGTTTGCAATTAGCTAATTATTAATATTTAATTAAAAAGAGAGGATTATATAATGGAATCAAAACTTCTATCAAAGAAATTTTCAAGCATTAGAATGATCGTGAACTTTTAAAATGTGTTTAGATGCAAATACTGATACAAGTAAAAAGTGGTTACTCCAATCACCAATCCCATTTTTATCTTATATCTGAATAATACTGTAGAAGAAATAAGAAAATACACCTTTCAATGGCACAGATAGAAAAAAAAAAATCTAGATTTTAAAATGCATTCGCTTAATTCAGCTTTTAGGAATATATTTCAAATCAAATTTCATCCCCTTTAGCGGGCCAGTTGCTGAAGAGTATTTTTTTGTTGTTGATACCAAGATGCAGAGGTCTAGCTCTGGAATCTAACACAGCTATGATGAGGCTGCCTAGTTTGCAGTGAAAGCAGAAATCAAAGTTTAAAATCTTGGTGTTTTACTTTTCCATCCTTGTAAACAACACCTTGACAACACCTTGAAAAGTGTGTTTTGGAGTTTGATTCCTAGTTTCTATGAGCAGCGCCCTTGCTCACAGAAGAATGTAACCCTTTCCTAACGTTACAGTATAACAAGTTTACTACCCTCATCACCACTGAGGTGTGTATTTAATTACCATCTAACAGCAAATTGCATTGTAGCAGTGCAACACATAACCAACATTGCTGTACAGTTCAGTCAGTAGAAATCAAATAGAGCCAGCGCCTGAAGGCAGGTCCATACTACAATTACATCAGGAGTTTGCACATCCTCTGCTTCTGTTGCTGTTTTCCCCTCCTGTCTCTTTCCCAAAGTCTGTCAAACTATCACTATTTATTTGTCAGCATTTTAAGGAACCATGCGTATACGTGATGCTATAGAAAATTAAATACACCAGCAAGAAACTATAAGCACAAAGAAATGTGCCTATTTCCAACATTTGTGGCTGTTTAGCTCTAAATACTTATTTAGAAATTGAAGACTGCTTCCAAGTAAAACCTGAAGGTTCTCCCACTCCCCCTCCATTCAACCTGATCATACAGGGCTAAGTAGAGGAACAAACCCATAATGGGTCACTTTCTAGAAAGGGTTCTGGCACGCATGAACTATTACTAATGAAGGAAATCGTTTATAGTTTAATTACTGTGTGGGTCCACTGTCACGGCCTCCTTTTGGCAAAAGGGCCCAGAGCACCACATCTGTGTGGAGAGCAGTGCTATCCAAAACATCACAGCGTGGGCTGCGAACCTGGCAGGATGGCTACACCAAGCCGGGTTGCCTGCCTGACCTCATGGAGCGCTACAGCCCTCTGCGGGTTAGCGGGTACATCTGCCAGCAACCCCACGTCCTGCGCTGGGGCAGAAGGTCCCATTGCTCTGCGTGTGTCCGTGTGCTCAGAACTTTTGGGCCCTAATTTTAAAGTGGCGTTTCAAAATGCATAAGATCTACCACCAATTGGCAGGTGTGATTAGCCCGCTGTGTTGCTGCTAGTGATGCTGAATGGATAGCTCACTGATTTCCAATTAGTTATCTGGCATTAATATATCAATGACCTGCTTTGAACCTGATTTGTTTTAAACCACACGAACTAAGCAGTGTTTCCAAAAAAACAGCTTATTGTTGCAAACTGCTCCTTTCAAAACACCGTGGAGTTCACATAAGGGAAAAGCAAACGGAGCTGGCAAGGAAAGGTGTGTTTGTTCCTTTCTTTCTTCAAGGATCCAGAAGTCTATGCTGGCAAGCATGTGGCACAGCAAGGGAGGAACAGTAGAATGCAAGAGCTGGTAATGACAACCCAGTATCCACACTGGATGCATTTCAGGATCTTGACGCTAGCGCTCTCCTGCTGTTGTGGACTTCATGCCCACCACCGGCTGAAGTGTATCAACCAGCTCAGCTTTTTTTTGGGTTTTTTTTTGTTTTTTTTTTTTCCTCCTGTCAGTTCACTTGCTTCAACACACTGCATGTGAGCCAAAACGCTGTACGTGGGGGTGAGTGGGAGCTTTGTTTCCAAGGTGCTCTCCTGATGTGGCCTCTCTAATGTCAATGCAGCAGGAACGGCTGATGCCTCACAAGTACCAGCCTACTTCTGGGCAGCATAGAGAGAAAGGACAATTTGGTGACTGCCCAGTTCACCACAGGAGCAGATTTTTTCCATGTCATAGACAGTTCTAAATGATGTGGATGAAATCTGCTCCTTCTATGACCACCAAACAACTAAGTTCTTATTTGCTACACTATATTATTTTCCTACAATGTTCCATTACAAGTTTGACTCGGACTTTACATGAAAAATTTTGCTAAACACAAATACTAAACATGATTTTTCTTACAATCATTGGACGTCTACTTACATCATTTATGCATGTACACTTCAGGTGGTGTGTACACTAGAAAAGCCCAAAATACATAGCTAGCTATCTTCTGCAGTGGTTCTCATCTCTTGAGCAAATTTAATAGAGTAAATAAGCAATATAGATTTCAACTGCACAAAACCAGGCATGATAACCACTAATTCATCTTTTTGGACAGAATATTTGCTCTATGTTTTCCATAAATTTTATATAGATGAATGTTTCTGAGTATGGCCTAGATATACTGTACAGACAGTCACATAATATATGAAACCCTAAATTCATATGAATAGTGAAAATTTTAAACATTCACATATGGCTTTAGTTGATATAATTTAACTGCAGCAATAATCATGACAGAAAAGTTTCATTATTTGCTAGAAAAAATGTGTATAGAGACAAAGACAAAAAAGAACTATAAACCAGATATACACAATAAACAAGGAATTACAGACCATACATTTTTAAATTCTGTTAAATGTTATTAGCAATCAACTGTAAGTCACAACTACAGCAAATAATTTGTCACTGTAGCTCCAGCTTGAAGTTAATACCGAGTTGTATTAATTAATGCGTAATTTAAAAGTTAACATTAAAAAAAATTTAAAAAGGGAAGAGCTTTCTTTTTCAATAGCGTCAGAGTAAGAGGCCTTGCAGAAGGCCTTACAGTTAGCAGTCCAAAATTTTTCTATTTACTCTACTTTTGTTATACTTGCCACATTCCAGAGATTCATCTGATCCATCACCACAGTCATCATCATGGTCACACACAAACTGTTTGGGAATGCAGACTTTATTATGGCACATGAAAGCATTCTCGTCACAAGTGTTATTAGGAGCTAAGGAAAATACAGTACATAAAAATAAATGAAATTGAGAACAATAAGATACACAGCCATTTCCTTAAAGAAAGATGAAATGAGAAGTAGTTAGTCTGAGTGGATTCAATGAAAATAATCATAACTTTTGAGTCACACAGAGCACCGCACAATTCAATAGCAGAAAGACAGCTAAAGAAGTAAGGATAGCTAAAATCTCATGTAATGCAAGACAAAGGCTTCAGGAGTTGATGCTGTCTACAACTAACCTAAGGTCTGCCTCTGAGGAAAAGGACATTCGGGCAATGCAGATGTCCTTCCTATGTTCCCCTGCAGCAGCATTTTCTACAGGAAGAGCCATAAAACTGCATGGTCAATAATGTGCTAATTTTCATTAGTAAACACGCTGTATAACGCCTACGACACGACACCCCCCTGCAATCCTCTATATATTAACAAAACCTGAAGATGTTAGGCTGATTAAAACATTGAAGGATCCTGGCAGGTCTGCTGACATGTGGTTCATCAACCTTCACTAACAATCTTGACAGTATAAGGGCATGATACTACAGACACAAACAGCACCTGCATATTGCAAAGGCAGAAGTACCACGAAAAGAAATACTATATATTTTTAACGTGCAAACCTACCACAGCCTGCTGTTGACAGTTCATCGCTTCCGTTAGGACAGTCTCTTTCACCGTCACAAAGCCAGTGCTGGGGAACACAGGCATGGGAGCCTAAGCAACTGAACGTGTCTGCTGCACAGGTCACTGAACCTGAAAAAAAATTACACGAGTCCTGAACATGTTCTAACTGATGTTTTTTAAGGTAATGAGTAATGATTCAGTAAGAGTTTTCCTTTAAAAATAAGACTAAAAGAAGACCTTATTCTGCAGAGTATGACAAACTTACTGGCTAAGACTGTATTTTACAATAAAATTTTGACAATCTGCTATTTCTTCCATTCTTTTCCTTTTTTCAGTCTCTATTTTCTGCAAGGATATTTAATCTACCACACTTGATGAAAACTGCCCAGCAGAATAACTTCTCAAATAAATTTTGGTCTTCATGTTTGACTGCGTGTTTGGACTGACCAAACAAAGGATCTAGTCTTGTAAACCGCAATCCTTGCGCCGGTGTACTCTGTGCCAGGAGGCTAAATGTATTAAAAACTTGCATGAAGAAGTAGAATGTAGAAAAGAACAAGGTGTAGGTACAGTAGAGGTGGGAGTAAGAAAATACCTGACAGTTCTAATGCAAGTAACTCAGCATATTGTCTATTTGATTTTTTTTTTTAACCAGCCTTTTCTTCAGATAAGAATATTATAATATTATATCCTAGGATTAATTTTACTCTGGAAGTAAATTTTTGCACAATCCACTACTTATTTTCTTAGATAAGCTAAACGTACTTTACTAAAAAGGAGACAGTGTATTTTCTACTAATTTTAATTAGAAATAAATAAAATAGTAAAACAAATTAAAAAATTTAATTGTTGCACTATTTATGCAAGAGAGACAACTTTTCTTACTTGTTATTTTTTATACTTCTGAAGTTAATGTTAAACAAATATTGGGTTTTTTTAAGACTAAAAATGTGAAGTCATCTTCATCTCTCTTTCATTCTTGCAATTCAGATCTGCCTCTTAGTCCCAAGAAGAAATACAACCTTAACTCTCCCCTCTTCATAACTGGTGTGGACTTTTCTCTCTTCAAGAGATGGCCTAAAATTTTATTGGTGGGCTTTCTTCTAAGAAGAGATCTACAATGTATTGCAAGTCAAGATACCAAAAGCAGTAATTCCAAACAACCTTAAAAGGAGAAAAAAAACCCAAAAGTATGTTGTAGTGACACTTGGCAGTTTGCTGGCCTTTGTTTTCCATTCCCTTTTTCTATTTTCTGCTCTAAGTTTCCTATTAAGCTTCAGGCCTCGATGCTTTTTAGGGTTTCACGTTGTTCTATAGTAGTCCCAGATGAGGTGCTTGTCCTCTCATTTCACACCTTCTCCTTTCCTACGGGAGACAGGCAAAGAGAAATCTTCCCTTTCCAACAGACATTGCTTCAACTCCCCAGTCCTCAGCATGACCTGAACATCATGAGAAATTGTATTGTAGATGGATGGTACCTGAAGACAATGTAATAATTCATGCATATTTTTCCACAGTAAACCAGTACAATTTCCACCTTTGTCCTTTTTATTTGTTTGCATTTCTACATCTATGTTTGATTAAGAAAATACTTAGCAAACCAGAACTCTGAATAGAAGCTGAAGAGATTTCTTCTCTGTCTACTTAACACTTCCTGTAAAGTTATCAACAATATTTCTACTGTGGTATCACACATGAAATAAGGAATAAAGTACTCTTTCTTGAGTAGACTCGGAGTAAGAGGATTTTTGAAAAGGAAGAAATTTATATATATATACACACGAGTGAAAAGTTGGAATTTTAAAAAGAAAATCTTAAAATACAGCATAGATAAGGATGGAACCAATGTATAAAATATCATGGAATTGTGACACTATGACTTGACAATGTTATTTTCCTGCAAAAAAATCACTAACACATTTCCAGTCAACTGAATGCCAGAATGAAAATAAAACTTTCAATTCCTTATGCAATTTGAAGTGTTTGGGAATTTGAGAGGAATATTATGCAATGCTTATGACTGTATATACAAAAATTTAAAGAGAATAGGAAAAAAAGAGCTAGAGAAAAAACCCAACTGTAGTGTCTTCAAGCACCTACCAATGAAATGTAAAACTCAAACAGCAATACATGGGTTTTACCTCAAGGATGGGAACTGGAGAAAGTTGGGTTCTCCTTTTGCCCACGTTGGTGTGCCATATCTTCACTGAGAGACTATACACAACTCATATAGTGCCCATAAAAAGGTATCTAGGTGCTGGTTGGAGGTGGCTGGGGGAGGATATCCTCTAATACCCTATCCTTAAAGCACATGCCCTTTGGAGATTCTGTACTTGTTCCCTTTCCACCACCTTCTTGGATCACTTGGTCTCTGACAATACAGAACTAAAATTATTCTACTTACCACAAATAGCGTCACTCTCATCTAAACCATCTCCACAGTCATCCTCACCATCACAAATCCATTGCTTAGAGATGCATTTGTTTGCAGAGCAAGCAAATTGATTCCATGAACAAGACGAATCTAGGAATGACACCAGGCACTGCATTTGTTAGCTCACAACAGCACTGCGTTCCCTGTGTTTTCTAGCATAGGTTAGGAATCTCCACACTGCTCCTTTCTGTCCTCCCAGTTTTAGTGAACCCAAACACTCAAACACATATAATCCTAATCATGGTATTCAGAATGTTTCCAGTTTGTCTAAGAGTTTGCATTCACCCATACATTTATAAAAATAAATAAATAAATGAATAGGAAAACGTTCAAAACACATTGTAATATTTTTAAATATTTTGCTAGTAGCCGGACAACAAATACTTTAAAAACATAAATCTGGTTTGTGTATTTCACACAGATATTGTAACTGCAGTGAAGTGCTTTAGCCTGGTAGTAGGGCAGAGACAGCACTGTCCAAATTTTCCCACACAGCTTTGCTCTTCTTATTCCAGTATTTAACTCCATCTTTAGGAGATTTCATGTTCTTTTCTCTCACAAGAAAAATTGCTGTGTGTTTGCATTTTGTCGTGCCACTTGCACTTCTGTATACATTAAAAATAATGGCATGCTTCTGCATTTCAGTCCGCACAACTGCTCTAAAGAAATGCTATTACTATGACCTTTTCTGAAAACTTCACATTGCTCACTTTTCCCAGACTTCTTTGAGAATAAAATTTATTTTGCTTTTAACTGATGACAACAAATTTTAATATTAACAATAAAAAGAACTGTAAGTATTGCAATCTGAATCTAGAAGTAGAGTTTTGTAGCAAGCACCTCAAAATGAGTAAGAGCAATAAGCGGGGAAAAAAGAATTGACACAACCCCCTTCCCTCTCTCCCACAAAAATGATCTAATAGGTTTTACAGGATTGCGTATGTCTGTGTAATAAAGCCTGGAAACGTAAACACTGAGTTAGGCCTGATGAATGTGATCAGCACAAAACCTCCCGATCTTCATAATGCACAGCGGTTGCTATTTTGAAATTGTAAGATGTATATATGTGATGTAAACTGCAAATCAAATACAGAAGCATGTTCATGGAAACTGGGTCATGAGGGGAGTAACATATAACTTTCGGTCATGTTAATAAGCAGTAAAGCAAAAAAAAAAGAATATAAAAAATTAAGTTTTTTTTTAAAATAGGCAATAGGAAAACTTGGTATTGCTTTGTGCTATTCTGCTACTTTTTAATTATAGAGCTAGTCCATTCAGTTAATTCATACAAATTTAAGTTAAAAGACAAGCTCTCACTATGACCAAACCCAACCTGCCTCGCTCCTCAATTAGGTAGAGTTTAAGAATCTTAAAAGGTCTGAGACAGAATGGACCTTTAACCTATTCACAGTTTATGCTGTATTTTATTCACATCATTTTTGTTGTTACTTTAAATAATCATACCTGTATGGCCTCTGATAAGAATAAATATCTATTTTTATTTCTTAAAGGTATGATTTGGTTACTTCCTGTTGGGATCCAGAGACTGATATGAACTGATTATATCTATAAAACTGTCCTAGTGAGGAGTTACGAATCATCAGTGAAATTAAAGCAATAGAGAAGTCTGTATACAAACATATCTTTAGGTGAAAAAGGTTTTGACAGGGCTTTCATTCTGCCATGAGACAGGGTTTAAGGTATTGGCAGTATGAATTATTAGAGCTGAATCTGAAAATACAGTATGAAAGATCTCTCTCTATGGCTCTAGATTCAGTCTCTGAGATACACACGCACACTTCCTTCTGCTTGCAAAGCGCATTAGCGATTACAGAAACACAAACAAGATAAAATGCTCACCACAATGCAATTCATCTACTCCATCCTCACAGTCTTTCTGCCCATCACAAAGCCAGGTGGTCAGAATACATCTTCCACTAGGACAACCAAAATAATTTTCTTCACATGTGGGTTTGTTTTGAACTGTGACAAAATAAAGAATGTAATGTAAAATGGTCTCTACTAGTATGATTAGGAGCCTAAAACATTTCTGCTAAGTTTCTGAATACTAATGGGCAACCAAGTGTTTATGTCTAAAAATGCAAAAAATACTATTTATATTAAATTGCATTCATAGCAAATAGTGGTAGCTAAGTAGTTTAGGGAGCTAAAATACTTCATTTATTTAGAGAAGAATCAGAGCACAGCTTCAAACTAAATTAAAAGGACCTATAGAGGAAAGTAGTTCAGTTTACAGGTTTTGAGCTTGGGTAGATAACACTGTTTGTTGTTTTACACCAGCTGAAGAAACTGCCCTTCTCATCTATCCACCGTCACCTACAAGAAACCTAAATGTGGCACGATTTTTGTCACATTCACTGGGATAAGCTACAAATCTGATGCATGCACTGACTAACTGGAGGCATACTGCTGATGTCGGAGCCGGAGACTTAGAATTTGTCACAAATTAAAAAATTCTTCTTCCTTGCTTGCTTTCTTTGTAGAGCGTGAAAGTAATTTAAGATTTTACTTTAATGAATGGTTAGAAAACAGATGCGAGGAAAGAAAACATACCATATATTTGGTTTCATGAGGTAAGCACAAATTCTAGTTCAATGAGTAGCACAGGTTATTTCCAAAATCTCAAGCAAGGTCTTTGCCTGGGAAAACCAAGGCAATACACACTAGTTCCAAGCACTGGAGATCACTGAAGCTCTCTGCCAAGGTTTCTATTACTCCCTTATTGTATTGGGGCTATCGACACTGGTTTTGCTTCTTCCCCTCTCTCTCTCTTTAAAACAAAGTTAAAGTTATATTTATGGCTTCTATAGCTGTATGAATAGAAAAAAAAAACAATAAAGAAAGAAGTGGGATGTCTATGATGACTGGGTAGATACAAAAGATTGTCTAAGTACAGCCACTCCTAAATGAATATTTTGCCTTAATTTTCTGTAAGAACAACAACACTGAACAAAGACTGGGGGAATTATCATATTCAGAATAGAAACAACACTCAAAAACTTAACGTGCCAAAGTTGGTCAGTTTTGAATGAAATGACGAAGGAAATCAATCGCATGTAGGTTGAATTGGAATGGTGTTGCTTCCAAATAAAGGGAGGAATGATCCAGACAATTAGTCACACATTAAAATGATGGAAGCTTTTGGCACACATTTGAAAGACAGAATAAAGTAATACAAATAAACGGATGAAGGAATAAAATGCAACATTAGTTTACTTCTGCAACATTAGTTTACTGAAGCTATAGCACACTGCCCTCAAAATCTTCTTTGGTGTGGAAAAAACCAGCCCTATAGACAAAGGAAATACAGTAACTCTAAGCTATTTTGAGCTCAATGAAGTATTATATACAGCAAATCCTAAAGAATTAATAGATAATCAGGAGAATATGAAGATTAGAAAGGAAACTATAATTTAATATGCATCTGGCTTATAGGAAAGATGAAAGTTCTCAGTGTCAGGTTGAATTGACATTAGTGCTGAAGTTCTAGGTTCCTTCTGGATCCTGGTAATATTTTCATCAAGAAAGTTGTCACAAAACATATGAGAATTCTAACTGAAGACTCTGGTGACACACTGGGATTATCACACAGAAAAACAGAATACTAAATGGGAACGAACAGCTGCTGTTAATTACTAGGCAAAAATTGGATGTATTTTAAAACATAAATTGAAAAGTTTTATTTTTACAAATTAATAATATTTATTAATTAGTAAATATTTATTTTTTCTAAATATTAATCCTTAGAAGAAAGAGATATGGGGCACAGGAGGGCAATGACAATCTAGCATGAGTCAATTTTGAAAACAAACAAAAAAATTAAAATGTATTTGCACGGATACAAGGCAAAAGTAAGATTTAATCTGCTCTACTAAAGACTAATATTTTACTCAAATAAAAATGATTAATGACAGACCTAACCTGGAAGAAATAGAAAGCTAGACAATACAGTTTTCTGTAATGCAGTAGTAATTTGTATTAATTTGTGTAATCTAATGAAACACAAAATAAAGACTGGTGAAAAAAATTGCATTCAGCATTATATTAATCTCTATTAAATATAAATATTGACTGAATAAACATGTTGCAACATAATTAGAAAACAGAACCAGAAATATAGGATTTTTTTTTTTTAAGTAATTTTTTATTGTGTTTTGGTTTGGTTTGGTTTTTTGTCTCATTTTTCACAGTTACCTGGGCATTTCAGTTCATCTGTATAATCTCCACAGTCATTAGATCCATCACATATCCATTCTGGCAGTATACAAAGTGAAGTTGAATTACAGCTAATAAATCCTGAAGATTTTATTCCAAGTTTATAGAAGTAAGCACAGTTTGTATCATCTGGAAAGAGACGGTAAGTTACTGTATCACACCTAACACCGATTGAGAGCCTTATATTTTGGTTTTCAGGTTTAGCTTGAGTTTGCGCAGACCATGCAGCTGCTGGTACCCAGCTAGTCATGACTATGAATTAACTGCTACATAAAAGGAATAATCATGGAACAGATGCTACGATGAACCACAAACACAAACTTACTGCAGTTCTTTTCATCTGAAGCATCTGCACAGTCAATGACCTGGTTGCACTGTGCTGATTTTCCAATGCAAATCCCATCTGCACAACGGAATTCTGTTGAAGCACATGTTGAATCTATAACATATGGTTATGAAAGATGTAAATTTGTGTACTAAACAGAGACTTCACATGCATATTTTACGCATTATGTTTAAACCTTCTACCTTTTAGAATGAGGAGCTCTGAACACACTGTACCTCCCATAGCTAAAAGTTCAATAGAAATATAAGGTATAATAAACTTGAAAGCATAAGTTTCTAATTTCCAAATACTTTTTGAGCCTAAAAGTCCATCTCTAGATAATTCTATTCAATTTGAGACAATCACCACGTGAAGGAAGAACTTGCAGGCCCACCTACGAATCTCTCCGATTTCGTTCATGTAACACCGGGCTGGGGTTTTTTGCCTGCACGCTTTTCTCTCTACTCATTTTCAGCTAAATGATTAAAACCCATGCCGTGCTTTAAAAACAGTGCTAGTTACTACAGCTACACAGCTTTTAGCTATATACTGTGGAATAATTTCCCCTCCAATCGTTCTGAATTCTAACTAAGGATTTGCGTTGTCTGCTAGCCAGTCTTTATTCATTGGCTGATGCACAGAATATATTCATGTTTTAAGACATAAAACCAATTCTGATATAAAGAGGAGCCAACTCCAGTAAGTTTTGCAAAGGACACAGACATTGCCATGCAGCTGAGCAGCAAAGAAATGGAACACTAGCTACTTCAACGAAGAAACAGTGCAGCAGATGCAGAGAAGAAATCACCCATCTTTCAACCCTTCCATCTGTAGTAAAGATACTCTCTCATTTACTACTTCACAGAAGCAGCAGCACCTATATTTTCTGAGTTTTCCATAGCCAAAACCACTCTCCTTCTAGAGGACTGTAGGTGTAAACCAAAATCAGTCTTCATATCAATCCCAACATGGGCTTTCTCAAACATACCAGTGTGCACCTGCTTGGTTTTGAATTCCAACAAAAGAAACCCAAGCACCTGTGGTCCCAATAAAGTTACATGCATTTTCAAGCGACTTCTATTTACATGCTAAGTATTTAAGAGAGCAATATTCCAAAATCACCTTGCAAATAACTGTTATTTACCTTTACAGTCAAATTCATCAGAGTTGTCACCACAGTCATTTACACCATCACATACTTTGTGACTTGAAACACAGCGACGATTAGAACATGGCTTGAAGCCCTTCCGACAGCCTCTGTTTTCTGGAAATTTAAGCACAAGCACATAATTTCATTTAGACACTTGATATGTAATAAAACTAGCTTTACATTACAACCAGACAAACATCCCAGAAAAACATTGTAAATGAAAATGCATCTGAAGCTACAGGAAAACCCTCAGAAACTGTTCATATATTTTCCATCAGAAGAACTTGGACTGATAAACAGATAAAGAATAATAAATAAAAGCATGATAAAAAACCAAAAGAATAAAAAAAAAAAAAAGAAAAAGGAAACCCTAATTCCCAGTTTTCATTATCTTGTGGTATAAAAATGTGCTTTAAATGTATTTGTTTTGACACATTTTTGTCAGGCACGTGACAGTGTTTGCATATAGCATCAGTAATTCTATGCTATAGAATGAAAAATACCAAATTTGCTCTAAACCATATCAGGAATACATGGAGAGAAAAATAACAAAAAATATCAGCAGAAAAGTTTCTAGACTTCTGAATCCTAATACTGAAAGTGTTCTGCCCAAGTAGGTGCACTATTGAAGACTGTATGAATTTTACCTATGTTGACATGTTTGAAAATTCAGGAACGAATTCCTAAAGCCCTAACCATCGTAGAAGTCATGCCACAATAATAAATAATGTTCATTGGATTAGTTAATTGATAATAATGAGTCTAGCATTCAGTACTTTATCAGATTCAGAAAACAACATACTGTATATGACCTCGTGCACGACAGAACCACAGCTCTGCCTCTTTTCTCCAAGTAAAAAGCAGCAAAAAGTTCAGTACGTTTGATTTCAATAAAGCAAAACTTACACTGCCACACTATAAACTAATATAATGCCCTTCATAAAATTATGTGGCAAATCCACAGAAAGACAAATTGTTGGACCTTGCATTTATATGTAGAATAAAGTCTAAAATAGTTTTAGCAGCTCAGTTATCCTCAGACTACTGACATAAGACATCTTCTCTGGAATGACAAGAAAGAGTATTTTGAGATCCCTCATCCCCTACAACTTTCTCTGTTCCCAGATGACTTTCTCTCTATTCCTTCAGTCTACTCTCCTCTCCTAACAAAGTAAAAGAAACTATATGAAACCTTAGTCTTCCATGAACTGTGAATGAAATAAATGACTAAAATTAATAGTACAGACAAAGAGGTCTAATCCATATAAAAATATATCTGACTGGGTTTTTTGGAGGTGGTGGTAGTTTTTGTTTTTTAAATTTTTAAGCAATATGCAGACATAAACACAAATATATCAACACATACTTAGTAAGGAAACCTAAGAATGAATTCACAGACATAAGTCGTTTACTTTTCAGTGCTTTGAAGCTGTCACTTATAATACAAGGGCCTTTCCCCCCTGGTAACTAGCAGTGCTTTTTTACAGACGTAAGTCGTTTACTTTTCAGTGCTTTGACCTTTCCCCCCTGGTAACTAGCAGTGCTTTTTATATTCCAGATTCTTATTTCCTTGTCTGATGTGTTCCCTTTCTTCAGAGTCAAACAAACCAACCTCCTTGGTTATCTACATGTAGATGATCTGATGGAATGTTACTGTTAGTTTTACATGACACGATCAAACCGTCTGAAAGCTAACGGGACAAATTGAAGATGAAAGAAAAATGACAAAGTATCAGTTGCTATACTAAGATTGTTGGTGTCAATTTTTTTAAGGAACAAAAAAATTCTAGTTGTTTCTTTTTCCCCAGTATCAGCCTTGGCTATTAAAATGGCAGAGGTAAACTCCAGGAAGTAAAGCAGATACTTTCACCAAACTGTAGAGGTGGCAGGTATAAACACAACGGGTGTGTTTGAAATGACATGAGATTGTTCATTCGGGAAACAGAAGAGATTCCAAGGCTGTGACAGAGATACACAGAACAAAAAGGCGGCCAAGAGTTACAGGCACAGGGGTAACAAGATCTCACTTGACGTGCAGGACCCAAGAACTCACCAAGGTGACTCAGTGATTTGGGAAATTATTTGAAAAGCAGTGTTTTAGACAGTGCAGCAGGCAAACTCAGTTGGACAAAAACAAACCCTGGAAGTGATTCAGTTAGTGATTATTAGGGAAAAAAAACCCCTAGATAAGGATAGAATCCCTTGGGAAAATTATGAAAATAATGAGTAAACATCCTTGTGACTAACTTGTTGCAAGGTGCAGACTGATTGGTATGAAGAATGGTGATACTATAAACTTAAACAGAAAAATTGTTAGAAAGAGATCTATTACACAGCCATTTTTGAATAATTCTATTTTAGTGTTTTCTATTCACAGAGAAAATCTTATTAAATATGGAAAAATAAATCAAAATTGCTAAATTAAAGATGAAAATACTCAATTTCTCATCTTTGCAAAAGCAGCTAGTTGTGTTTTTTCCTCACTTTTGTTTTTGAGACAGAAATATGAGAACATTTGATATGCTTTTTGTTAAGTATAAGTCAGCTAATACATGAAGTTTACAAGGCAAGTATGTTCATATGTTCATATGCTATCCATATAATGTCAGATTTTTTTTAATGTGCGAGTTGGCATTTTCTTCTTGTGCATCTTGGTGAGCAGTTGGTACGAATGAGTAGAAAAGTCACAGAGGAACCAACATAAGCATATATAAACAAAATAAGAATGTGAAGGTGAAACATCTGGAAATACTTACCACAGTAGAAAAGTTTCTCATCAGACTTGTCCTTACAATGAGCAATGCCATCACAAGTCAGCTGATAATCAATGCATTCACCATTCCCACATTCAAATTCAGAATAAATGTTGCAAGTAGAATTTTTAGCTAAAAATAAATCATATTAACATGTAATTTTAATAGCTTTTACATTTAGTGAAAATGAGAAATATATTGGCTGCATTTAAAATATCTCCTACACAGGTTTTGAAAACCTAAGTAGAAAAAATACCACCATGGAATCAGAACTCAAGAGCTTGTACAGAGTGGTGGCCTGCAAGACTCCTATACTTCTCTGTAAATGTGTTGATATTATGCAGGACTGAGGACAGATATCCAAATAGCAAACAATTTTCAGAAATTTTATATTCCGGTGAAATCCAAACCAAGGTAAGAGAGTCTGTAAAAGAAAAATACATAGTGAAATATCCATGAAGGAACATGGATAGACACCTCCCCTGTGAGGACAGGCTGAGAGAGTTGGGGGTGTTCAGCCTGGAGAAGAGAAGGCTCTGGGGAGACCTTAGAGCGGCTTCCAGTGCTGAAAGGGGCTGCAGGAGAGGTGGGGAGGGACTCTTGATCAGGGAGGGGAGTGATAGCACAAGGGGTAACGGTTTCAAACTGAAAGAGGGGAGATTTAGATTAGATATTAGGAAGAAATTCTTTACTATGAGGGTGGTGAGGCACTGGCACAGGCTGCCCAGAGAAGCTGTGGCTGCCCCCTCCCTGGCAGTGCTCAAGGCCAGGCTGGATGGGGCTGGGAGCAACCTGGTCTGGTGGGAGGTGTCCCTGCCCATGGCAAGGGGGTTGGTACTAGGCAATTAAGGCCTCTTCCAACCCAAACCAGTCGGTGATTCTTTGAACATGTAGTGAAGCAACTTAAAGGCAGCAACTCCAATCCATAGACTTTGTAACTACTGTGCTCAGCTATCCTCTATATCTTAACAGATATTGAAAAAAAAAATCTCTTTGACACAGCATATCCAAAAGCAAGAAGTAAACACAATTACCTAGCAGTTAATTTGAACTCTCAGCTCTGTTTTGTGGCACTGTGCAGCTGCTTAGTACGTACACAGGTACCAGCGTTAATGTACCACATCCCATGTTGAAGATATAGCCTAACACCCAATGAAGAAAATCTGTTTGGTTTACTTATTTATTTTTATTCACAAAAAAATAATTGGTAGACATGTACATTTTTTGTGTCCTCGCTTTCTCAGAGTGGCTGTTTTATCTATTATTTTAGAAGAGAACAAGATGTACATTTAAAATTTACTCCCGCTTTCTCTTGCATATAGATTTTCTGTTAGTTCAGTTACAAACTAAAAAAGCCTCATACAATTGACACAAAACAATTTGGTCAAGAACTTCATGATAGTATGTGCATTTGCTTCATGCGTTCAATTCTAAAGAAAATACCAAACAAGTGAAAAGAGAAGTATATACAACAGCTCAAGAGAAAGAATAGGGAAATAATATCTAATTATTTTTGGCCTTTTTCTTGTTTCTATTATAATTACTTCAGCACAAATTCAGGAAGAACCAAAGTCTGCTATTTGCAAAAGTCAAGCCAATATAAATTGAAAACATTTCTTGATTTGATTCAAACATGAAGAAATAGATAAAAGTGCTGAAAATACAGATCCTGGACAAGGTGAGATCTGATCTTGAATATGATTTGTACAATTGTTTAAGTTTTAATCAAGTTTATAACAGCAATTGTTTTTCTCTCTTTTCCCTCCACTTTTTAGCATTGTAAGAACTTAGACCTTGGGAAAAGTAATTCTCAATCACATTTGTCATTCATCTAGTTCAGCATCTTAGACTGCAATCTTTAGAGAAAGATGGAGGGGGAAAAAAAAATCAAAACATAAGTATAGTATAATCTGCCCTCAGTTAAAGTAACTGCATACCCTTCAAAGATTGTTTCAAACCCCAGCTTTCAGAAACAAAACACTTTAATGCCCTTCATAACTTTGAATTTTACTGAAGCTTTGTCTCAAGAATCTTGACTGGCAGTAAATGATATAGTCTAATTACTCTTTGAAAGGACAGTTAATTCCTTTTCTCAGTTAGAATTGCTAACTTTCAATTTTATTGAGTATCCCTTTCAATTGTGTTATGAAGAAAGAAACTTTGGATCTCACAGCTAAACTATAGTCTGTATCGTTTCCACCCTTCCTGTGCTAGTCAATCCCAACGTTCAATGTCCAAGTCTTTGTGGTTTTTTTTTTGTAACTAGTAACTCCGATCAACACTTCCTGCAAACATTCTACAAAATAATTTAGACAATGGAATCTTACATCATGGTCTAGATGAGGATTTAAACACAGTTTTACCTAAGAGTAATTTTAAGAGTTTTAATGCTTTTGGAAAATAGAAATACCATATAATATTATTAAATACATTATCAGACCTATGAAGTTATCTGATGAACCTCTTTCACGTCCACTGCTGATTGCTACCCCAACAAGGTAAAGACATAGGTGAGAAAGCGCTTTAAGTAAAGGTTCAGCTTCAGTAACTCATCTGATACAGCCCTAGACAGACCCGATTGATGCATGTAGATACTTTTATCTATCTCAGTAGTCATTATGACAGATATATGAAAATCATAATTATTACTAAGACAGTAGTATTTTACTACCATAGTAGCCGTTACATTTTTCATCTTGGTTATGTTTTTTTCAACCTCTTTGGGATGCCAGTGGCCATCTTTTTCTCCCACCTCCAAACAAACCAAGAGTTTTATTGCATTCATGCGATGAGTTTAAATCATGACATTTACATTACAAATGAGTTTAAATCATTACAATAACACCCATTACATTTAATGAAGGCAAAATGAGGATCAGTGAAAGGTTTGTCTCCTTACTGCTCCAAACATTATGAATGCCAACTATTCTTTGTATTTTCTCTGATTTTAATTAATCGAGGAAGCTGACATAACTACCCTTACCAAGCACTGAAAAATTTTTAACCTGCTACAATACGATCTTGTCTTCTTTATCAGCCAATTAGGTTTCTGCCCTGCTGTGAGGAAGTAAAAAAACCCACTAGTCTCTTGCCAGACTAGCAATGAAGGAAAAATTCCTTGCCAGATTCAGAGAAGGCGGCAGCAGTTACTTTCAAGTCTTCAGCAATTCCTGTACTTTAGCATAGTCTATCTCATGGATAAAGGTATGGGAGAACGTCAGCTGAGCGAGTGACAGACCTGTCCCACAAGACCAAGTACAGACTGGTAGGCAATGGAACTTAAGGGAATTTTCCAGTTCTAAAAGGTCTCTTGGATGACCAAAATCAGTAAAACCTGACAGAATGGGAGGGTGAAATAAGGTGATTAAATAAGCCTGGTGGTAATATGCCACCTGCAGGAAGAAGAAATATTTGGCCCTAGTGGAAAATATCTTTTTGTAAACTAGTAAAGTCCTAACAAATATCTTTGAACCACTAACAATCAGAATCTTGTCCATACAATCTCAACTGATCACTGGATTCTGTTACTAGACTAAAAGTCTGCTACTTTGAAACACTGTTATAGTTTAAATTAAAATCTTTATTGCTGAAAATCATCTTTAAAATTCATTGTATCTCCATTATACATCTAGACAAAGCAGTTTTTGAGTAAGAGCTGCAAATGTAGTACAGGTCAGTTGTACACTACTTTACCACTGCATCTGAACTCTAGACCAGCTGTATATTCCCTGTTGTGAAGGATAAGAGTTTCACCCCTCTTACTTCCATATATTTAGCTACAGAACGAGGTCTTTCTGTGAGATCTCAGTGACTTTATAATGCACTACATAAACACCTAGTTAATAACTAACATGTGTGAGCCAAAGGTAAATGTGAAGGACTAACTATGAAGCATGTGAAGGGGCAGAATAAAACTGTAGCAATTCATGAATTTGTTTGGGACACGTTGGTAGCTACTGTATGACTATACTGATCATATGCACAATTAACGTCTGCATCTGGTTTCATTTAGCAGCAATATCTTAGGAAATTAAGCTGAGGGCAAAACTATGGATCCAAAATAAACATGGTAAAAGAAATCTTAAGATTAATTTTAGATACGATAACCAAGCAATGAGCTTGCTATGGTATAAAAGTAATTACAGGCTCCTCACAGCGCTGTGTAGCTTAGTGGCCAAGCCGATGTATCTGATTCTAAAGGACTGGGGTCCAGCCCAAAGGATGCCTTGAGACAATTTCAAATCACATCAATACTCAAAGGTGTAATTCTGCCCTTTACCTCATCACAGTCTTTTGTTCTCACTAGTTCTCTTCAACTGGCTCTAGTGATCTTGCAGTGTCAAGCTGAATGAGCCCTGCTCACTGATCCAACCACAACTAGGTTTAAACCCCCCAAAATCCTAATTCCCAGTCAAGGAAGCAGTTAATTCATGATTCAGTTACGCAGCTGCTATTGCTGCTGAAAGGCATGTGATGGGAGAGAGCATAAGACTGTCCTTAGCAGAAGTACACTTCTTGCTCTTCTTCAACTGATCATTAAACATCAGTATCCTCTCCTGTTATGATACTGCTGATACAAAAATACTATTGACTCAGAGGTACGAGGAAAGCCTCATATCATTCGAGCATGAAACATATCAGTGGCATGACCAAAATAAACTCTGTTAGCAAAGGAGTAGGTTTGCCAAATAACCAGTACAGGGACTACATCTCTTCATATCCCACACCAACACAGCTCTGCATATACAGTTCAGCATTTTAAAAGTGACTCTCTGTTGGTAGAAGAGAAGCCACTGGCTAAGGCAGGAGCAACAGACTGACACAGAAGAGTCTGAAGCAGGTAAACTGTCTAAGCTTCTAGCAGGATGGTAAATCTTGCTAAATCATATATTAAAAAAACCCCATATTTTCTTGAATGTTACAGTGTCTCTCTACTGCTACAATCAAAAAAAAAAATTGATTTCGAGAAAGCAGGTGGGTCAAAGCTATGAAACTGAAGCAGTAGAACAGGCATACGTGGCAGATAAATATGGAAGTGGAGAACTTGATCTAAGAGTTGGGCTTTCTGCCCCACAGAGGGAAAGGTCCAATAAACCACTGGAATTTGGAAGCTGTCTCTAACTGTGACAGAAGAGCTATAACACAGTGACATTAACAAAGACATAAGGCACTGCATGCTTCCCCCTCAGCTTTCCCTCCATCCCCAATCCAGCCAGCTAAGGGAAGAAGCAGTCACATTCCAAATTATGAATGGCGGTTATCCCTTGGGAAACAGCCCAAAGCTTTAGAGTTAACTCACTCCTGGTATGGCACAGCATTAACAAAGCGACAGAGATTTTCTCCAAATTATTAGAAAAGCCAGAAGAGTGCACCGTGTGTACAAATATAGCACCCTTCCAAATTACCAGCACATATTTCATGTTCATAAACATCAGTTCTGCACAGGGACAGTGTACTCCAAAGAAGCTGCAATTGATGACCATCTATTCTGAACCACTTCTGAACTATGAAAAACCACGTATCTTGTATTTTCTTTACCATATACTGAGACATACTGGTTCAGAGGAATCATGGGAAGATGCGAGAAGAGAAGAGCTTAACACAGTGTAATGCAGCAATGCAGAATATTCTCCAACAAAACCAGTCTCCAAGGAGTCTGTCATCTTGAAGTGATACATTTCCAAATTACTAAAACACCAATTCTACATAATTAAATACAACAGCTGGATAATAAGTTACAATTATTTTGTATTTTTAAGGAGATGAAATGAGAATATTTGTACGCAACAGAAACAAATTGCAAATAGGAAACGTTGAGTAGAACACAACTACTCAAAGTGGAATTTCAGGAGAGTATAAGTATTAATGCTTTTTAACCCCCCAAAAGTCTCGTAAGACATAAAATAGTTTAAAGCCTGGTATGTGCTGAATTGCCAGATCAAGTTTTACAGTGTATAGAAGCAATAAAATTAATGGCTTGGGCCAACCGCCTTTGCTCATGATAGCCAACTCCATCACACCATAGAAAAGCATTGTGTCAGCTAGTATTACTTACTCACACATCTGTTATCATCTATCAGTATTCTGTCCCCTCTACAGGAGCAGTTCACTCGTCCGTCAGGAGTCAGAAGGCATAAATCATGACAACCTCCATTCATTTGTGCACAAGGAGATAACTCACCTGAAAAACAAATGATAAAAGATGAACTCTGTTTTACTAAATTTGCTTCAATGGCCAATGTCTTTGAGAGAGCAAAGATCACCATATCTCAGATTCATGGGCAATTGATTCAAGTTTTATCAGCCAGATGAAAATGTCAGCATGCCTCAGATGCTAGCATGCTAAAGATAAACAAATGGAGTTACTTTGAGTATAGTAATTTTAAACCCCTACAACATTCAAAACTGCTGATATTTGTCAGGAAATGATTTAACTGCTATCAAATGAGCACAAAACTGTCATTCAATAGTATTTATTTACTTGGGGAAGAGGTTACATCCCATCTTTTGTTAACAGTTCCGACAAAAAGAATTTATGAAACACGACAAAGTGTTTGCACAGTTAAAACTAAGTAAAATTGATACTGGAATTAATTCTAAGTAAAAATGATACTGGAATTAACAAAACAGTGTATCTTGCTTTGTAACTTACAACTGTTAGTATCGTTGGCAACAGCAATAATGCCCATTGGCTGATGCGGGATATCAGAACGAAGAACTTTGGTATCTCCTCCTGTATATTTACTGGAACGCAGAATAGCTCTCCTCACTCCATCTGACCAGAAGATATAATCATCATATACAGCCAGGCTGAGAAAAGTACCTGGTCCAGATTTGACAATTACCTGAAATAAATAAGTACAGAGGAGAAACATGAGAAGGAATGTTGTCACTGAGTAAGAAGTTTTAGAAGTGCAATCTGTGACGCACATTATATTTTTTAGACAAACCACTTAATTCTTCTGTACTTACAGCACCTGGAAAAATGAGATAACAGCACTTGAAATGTGCAAAAAGGATGATACAAGCTTCCAAATTTCAGAAACCCAGGAATCTGTTCCATAATTACAAAAATTCACAGTTTATCTCAATGTGCCTGTAAAAATACCTACTCAACACACTACCTGCCTAGTAGTTCAAACGGAAAAGAGAACAAGAGGTACTGTAGCATGGCTGAAAGTCTAAAATTAATTCTGGGTCTTTATGAATCAAAGCAAGAAGCATGTTTCAGAACTGAAGAACCTTCACCATATGATCACATTAGAACCCTGAACCAAAGTCAATCAATGTTTTGTGTTTTCCAATTAAAAAAAAAATAGTCTCTTCAGTCACCATACTAATTATCAGTTCAAAACTTAGAAAGAAAATATGAATTGTAGTTCACTATATAGGAGGGTTTGAAAGAAAACTACAGAAATACAATCAATTTAATCCCGGTCTGAATCACAGCTCCTGTAAAGTATTTTCACATATGTTCTTCCTATTTTATACATCACAATTAAAGATTTAACATGTACAGTTTCTGTTCTGAAGAAGATAACACATTTTGAATCAGTTCTCTAGTTGAAAATTTAATTTTGGCTGAACAGAATATGTAATAACATAATGGAAATAAATAATATTCTGAACATATTTATTGCACTGTATCCTTCCATGTTTCTCTGGGAAAATGAGTAACATGTATTTATAAAGTGGGAGCAGTTCACTGTCCAGGGAATTTCAACAATTTGCTAACATAAACAATTGTAGTTCAGTGCACAGGAGTGTCAAAATTACTTATATTAATCAGACAATTATAACAAATTCTGCATTGCTATGCATATTATATATTCCTGCATATTTGAAAGAAGATTTGACCAGCAATTCCTTTTTTCCAGCCAAGACTTTTTCCAGCAATCAATGTCCCAAGAGGACAACTTTTCCCTCAGCAACCTTTTGACAAAATTAAAAGTATTAAAAGATAAATGGGAATGCATCAATGGCAAAAAGACCTCTTCTGTAATGGTGCACATTTACTGTAAGACACTTTTCATAATACACTCTTAAAAGCCTATACTATTCATATTCAGACACATTTCAGAAAAAAAAAAAAAATCAATCATGTATGTTTCTGAAAGATCTGTACGAAATCTGGCCACGCAGATTTTGCAGTCCCATATTTGCTCTCCATGACAGTGTGAAACTGTCCCAGTTTGAAGGATTTTACTGTCAAAACCAATGCTAAAGAAAGCACTATTCTGTTCAGCTTTCTGTGTTTTGTAGCACTGTCGTAATTTTTCTCAAATTGTAACAAAAGAATGTAAATTTATTGCAGAACTGATCATTGTTGTTCAGCCTCGGGAGATTTGAGATCCAAATAAAGGGTCACAAAAGCTAACATCCAGAAACTTTTGTTCATTAATGCTCATACCACTTCATTCACTGAAGTCTCCTCTATTATGTCACAGCACTATCCAAGGACATTGGTTTTACCAAGCACCCAGAAGAGTGAGCTCCTATTTCTACCAGCTTTTGGACAACTTTACAGCCCTTATCAGGGCTGTAAATTATCAGAATTATAATTATCAGAAACGACTGAAAATGAACGATGATTTCTTTATAAGTCTGTTCATCCTTTGGTTACCTGCCAAATCACGTTTAATCCTGAGGATTCAGCACCAACCGAATTTGCTGTGTGTCAAGCCTGTTGCAAGTCATCTCTGTTTCTAAATCTTGTATTCTATACAGCTTGCATGTTCATTTTCCCAGCAGTGTCTGCAGCTCTGCACAGAGATACCTATACATTCACTAGCAGGACCATGCAACGAAAATTCATGCTCTTACAGTGTGACCCTACCAAAATTCTCCTTGGGTGGCCCCATCTGGCTGGCCCAGGATGGGTAGGAAGCACAAAGGGGTCTAGTCACTACCGCCTGCTCCCTCTTTCCTTGCTGCTTGCTTGTCTCTCAAAAATAATGATGGAAGCCAATACACTTTGCACATTTGTTCCTCTGAGTTATCAACAGCAATCTGATAAGCTTTGGATCTAGACATAAGAGAACTGCTGCAGTCTTTCAGGGACTGCACGTACTCAACTACATAACACAGGGAAGAAACCCAATGCAGAATCAGTGATCACCATTCCATCATAGAAAAATCATGTTTTCTAACTGTAAAAACTCAGAGATAATCGACTTATAGCAAGTTTTATATAAAATGGTGGCTAAGTAGGAATAAACGAACCAAAGCAGTGCTCCCACTTACAAGAATACAGGCAAAAATCTCCTTACATATCCCATCTAGAAGCATGTTATCAACACAAGCATAATGCCCAGTTAATCTGCAATCTATAACTGCAGTATATGCTGCTTGTTGTTCAATTAAGGGTGTATAAACTGTGCTGGAATTGGAAAGCCGCTGTGTACACTGGGTCAGAGGGTAAAAGGATAAAGTACCACAAGAAACTGAGTGTCTATATGACACGGTACCATACACGAAATAACTTTTGAACCTCTGCAGACAATCTACAGGTAAGGAGGACTAGAAGGTACAACCTCAACCATCGCATTTCGGCAAGTATGACATAGACCACAATGTAACTGAAAATGACTTCAGAAAGGCCACATTCATGCACTCCCACAAGCTACTGCAGTACTGTATAAATACTTAAGACCTTTTCTCAAAAGGACAAAAACTGCTAAAAAGCACCCTGTGCTGCAAGCACAAAGCAAGAATAATTACGGTCATCAGCAACGGTTTTGGTCACAGAAGAGAGAAGTGTGGTACTGAATGAATGGGCACACATTGAAAAAAACCAATGCGTTGCCACTCTGTACGACAAAGATCTGAACAGATTTCTTTTTTTACAGTATCAAGTTTTCAAACAGTTTGTTTTTAACAGCATAAAACAACATCAATCATATAAAGACCCTGTCTTGACATATTTTTATCACACATCTAAATTGATACTAAAAATTGCAACAATATATGTACAATTTTAAAACATTAAGGGAACCTGAACATGACACCCCTACCATCCCTTCCACCTGAACCAGTGGAAGTCAGACACATCCAATAGTACATCACGTGTTTAAAACTGAATGATACTGACATTCAGCTACAGCACACACTTCGAGCTCTGAATACCAGATGAAAAGTCTTCTGTTTCCTGTAAAGAGATAAGGAGCCTGGGGGAGGAACGTCACAATTAGCAGCACAATTTAATTTTAACTCTGAACCTTTCTTTTTTAGTTCTGATTTTTAAGTTCTCCACACAGCTTTTGTTTTAATATATAGCGGCTCTAAATTTGAGGTAAGTGTAGCAGTTTCTCTAGAAAAACGTGATTGAAGAGGGGGATGATCCAGTCAGGTAGACAAGAATTTGTGCCAGAATACTATAATTTGAATGATTTATATAAAACTCTTATTAGATTGTCAGTAAGAATTAGATTCATAGCAATTCTTACTGTGAAAACACTTAACTTTTGTAGAAAGACAGGGTTGTTTTTTTTTAAAGGTAAGTGCATAAAGTCAATGCATCAGCTTAAAATATGAGTTGGTTTTAAGTATTTTAACTCTAATAAATGGCTTATTCATAATAATTCTCTTTCAAAATGCTTAATTAATGGGCAGTGCCATCTAATAAAGCTTTCAAAAGTTTTTTTAAGGGCTATAGTCTTCTAAAGATAAAAAATCTACTTAGAGGTCTATAACAAAATGACAAATACAGTATAGAGAACTACACTTAAAAAGGCTAAGATTATTGACAGTTTAAAGTCAATTGCATAATAAAATCATTACACAAGTATAAAGCAACATCAGTAGTCTAAGAATAAACAACATTTTGGGTGGATATTGGAAAACTCAGTCTGACAGAACTGACTGACACAGAACACCATGTTAATCAAAATTACCTAATGTATTTTATTCTTTCAAAAGGAAGACATAAAATAGCACGCCATATGTATTATTCAGCTATGAATAATTATATGAGACTGTGATACAGGTAAACAAGTTGGTATTTTTCCCCAGCCATGGGAAAAATAAAATCATCTAAGTCATAGCTTGTATGGTTTTGATTTAGCCACCTAAAAAATATACACTTACATCAGACTCCTTGTTTTGCTTGTTATTGATGTAGTTGCTTTAGGAAAAAGCAAAAATTCTATCTCTTGCTGGATAAACAGATCTATCAGCCTTGATCTGCAGTATCCAAAACATGCCCTTCCAACACTGTGATGTGGGTGGTGGTGGGGAGGTTAAATACAGAAGACGACAGACATTTGGTATTGAAGAGAACACTTATGAGTTTACCAATTCCTCGTTCCTGTTGCCACAAAAGAAATTAGAATAATTTCTAGGTTTATGTTGAGTTTTGTGGAAGAACAGTGCCAATCGCTGATATACCCTACCAAAAATAATCATGCTTTTTATTGATTGGCCCAAATAAAGTCCCTAATTTCAGCATTGTCATATCTTTAACACATGGATTTTTTTTTCATTTATTGAATCTTTCAAAAATATCTTCATAATAACTTGAATTGCAATCACATAGCAAAGGATTCAGAGGACATACTAGAATACCATGTTTTCCAAGAACAGTAAGATCCTGTTTCCACAGAACTGTCCAAGTGTGATGTAACAAAATCAGAAGCGCTTCCTCTTTAACAATGTATTTTTGTTTCTCCATGCTAGAAACAAATTTTTGTTTCTCCAAGCTTCTCTTGCAAGAGAAAAGAATCAAGAATAGAATATTCCCACTAAAACTAATATATTGATATTGCTGGACAGAGAAAATTAAAAAATCCACCACAACTTCACTTCTAGTACCATTAATTTCCAAGATTACCCACACCATTCTAGCTGC